CGATCCAGCTCTCTGCTATGACCTGGGAAAGCAGTAGAAGATGGCCCAAGCCCTCAGGCCCCTGCACTTGTGTGGGAGACCCAGAAGAAGCTCCTGGCTCCTGGCTTCGGAATGGCTCAGCTCTGGCCGTTGCAGCCATTTGGGGAGTGAACATGTAGATGGAAGGCTCTTCTCTCTCTCTCTCTCTCTCTGCATCTGCCTCTCTAACTCTTTCAAGTAAAATAAATTTTTTAAAAAAATCTTAATTTTTAAAAAATGCCCATGCATCCCTGGTGGCTTTAACAGAGTCATGTTTGTATCTACGGATGGAACGAGCTAGCAGAAGCCAGTGGGTTCCTCCCAGAAAGAGCACTCGGGAATGTCACTGTGGCAGGTAGACTTCCAACAATGCTGACGGCTCCTTGTGACACTGTACATATGGGCATACACTCCCATGGACCCACACACACATATCAGGGTGTGGCGTCCCTTGGCCCTGCCCGGGCCAGTCTTGTGACTTGTTCTGACTGTCAGGTGGTAGAAATGATGCTTACTCTTGGAGTTTTGAGTCCAGGTCATGAGGGAACTAGCAACTTCTGGCTTCCTTCCTGCTACAGGTCAATCACAATTTGGCTCCCAAACTCATGCAAGACTTTCAGCTGCAATGTCATAAACTAAGGGTACTAACAGGGTGGAAAGTTAATCCAGTTACGGCGTTAGGTACAGTCTAGGAGTGGGCCTACTGGGCCTTAGGTCACTGGAGGCATGCTCTTGAAAACTGGTTCTCCTGGGAGGTCGGTTATAAAAGCCCAAGTCAGGGCCAGCCACTCTCTCTCCCTGACTCACCCTATAAGCCTACCTCCACTCACAGTCCACACTGCAGTGCTACTCTCATCAGAGACTACATGGGCTCACTTAGTCCTGGACTTGAACTTCCAGGGGCCCAAGACAGACAGAGAGGTAACGGAAGCAGCTCGGAGCTGTGAGATGTAAAAGCAAAGCCTGCTTAGACCTTTTGGCCTGGCCCAGCCCAGGCCAACCTTCCCAGCAGTTGAGAGCCACCGAATGAGTGACCCCAGGTGGTCACTCATTGACCCCAGGTGACCCCATCAGTGTTGTTTTAGACACTGAGTATTGGGGTGGTTCACCGCATGGAAGTAAGTAACCGAAATGGCACCGTCTCTTTGTTTTACCACGGAAAGGACACAGCACTCCTGACCTAAGTGACGTCGTCACCGCCTACAGAGAGAATCCCAAACCCTTCCTTGTAGTAAGCAGCTACAATCTGGCTCGGCAGGTGTCTTGGGAAGCGAAACAGTCCTTAATACGTTCCTACTTCCTACTTCACTTGATTGACCCTGGAAGCACATGGGCCACCCCTAACGTCAGACAGGCCCTGGCCGTGGAGACCCGGGGGTCCACGCTACAGTCCCAACTCTTGGCCTTTAGGCTCACCCCTGACTTTGGGCAAGGCTTCTGATCTCAGTCTGTTCGGGCTGCGATGGCGAAATGAGCCTGGCTGACTCGTAAACAACAGAAACTGACTTCTCACAGTTCTGCAAGCTCAAAGTGCTGGGCAATTCATTGCCTGGTGAGGGCCTGCACCCTCATAGATGGCGCCTTCTAGCGGTGGCCTCTCGTGGCCGAAGGGACAGAGGAGCCCTCGCAGCCTTTCCGATGGAGAGCAAACCACGGCCAGGAAGGCAGAGTCCTCAGGACTGAATCGCCTTCCAAAGGCCCCACCTCTTAGGTTGTGACAAATCAATTGTGAGTGGACATAAACATTCAGATCACAATGATCTCTTCCGCCTATTTCTCTTTATAGATAGACACCTCTACCCCACTCTACAGACTTCTTGTAGACAGAGTATTTTAATGAACTTTGAAAAAATAGGATGCAATTTTTATTAGCTGTCATTTCATAATTTCACTTTGTCAGAATGCAAACTCTGAGGGGTTTATTCATCTCTCAAAAAACAATCCTGGGGCCGGCGCTGTGACATAACAGGTAAAGCCGCCACCTGCAGTGCCGGCATCCCATATGAGCGGCAGTTCGAGACCTGGCTGCTCCACTTCTGATCCGGCTCTCTGTTATGGCCTGGGAAAGCAGTGGAGGATGGCCCAAGTCCTTGGGCCCCTGAACCCACGTGGGAAAACCCAGAAGAAGCTCCTGGCTCCTGGCTTCAGACCAGTGAAGCTCTGGCTGTTGCGGCCAATTGAGGAGTGAACCAGTAGATGGAAGACTCTCTCTCTCTCTCTCTCTCTCTCTCTCTCTCTCTCTGCCTCTCCTCTATGTAACTCTGACTTTCAAATAAATAAATAAATAAATATTTAATTAAAAATTCCTGCAATTTGAGGGTGTTACCACCAGATGGCAATGGTATATAAATCAGCATCTCCCAAAATCCTAAAACTAAAAATGAAGTAAAAAGTGAAGATTGAGTTATTTATTCTCAAAACTATATGGAAGTACTCGCCTGGAATGAAGTTTTGGCAACATGGTTCAGTAGATAAGCAACCCCCTTTTCTATGCAAGTAACTCAGTAAGGAGAAAGAAAAATAAATACGGCCATAAAAATGGCTAAACTATGCTGAGCGCTTACCATGGTCCAGGTGTGTTCCAAGTGTATTGTGTGGTTTATCTTATTTCTTCCTCATAAACCTTCTATTGTTATTACTTTGTATTTACAGGTGAGGACATTGAGGCTCAATTAAATTAAGTTACCTGCTATGATGGTCAATTTCAGGGTCAATGTGACTGGATTAAGGAACACTTAGAAATCTGGAAAAGAATGATTTCGGGTGTGTCTTTGAGAGTGCTTCCAAGCAAGGTTAGCACGAGAATCAGAGAATCGGAGAATCGGAGACCTGGCCTCTACACACTGGCTGGGAGACCACATACAGAGGGTAACGCTGGGTCCTGTTCAACTCTGGCCTTGGGTTCCAGGACTTACACCTGCAGCCCCCTGGCTGGACACAGGTCTGCAGGCTCAGGCTGGGCATTCTACCCACAACCTCCCTGGTTCTGAGGTCGTCAGACTTGACTTGAGCCATGCTATCGGCACTGCACGGTCTCCGGCCTGCAGATGACCTGTCGTGGGCCTTCTCAGTTGCCATAATCACAGGTGCCAAAGCCCCTAACACCTCACCCTTTGTGTATCTCTACACGTATCTATCAGTTCCGTGTCGCCTTAGAACTCAGGGGTGCACCTGCCCAGCTTACGCGCCTCGTGGGCAGGCCACAGCGGAGTGCCTCTACACCCAACAGCTTTCACCACTTCAGCCCAAGAACTCAGATGTCTTCAGATCCGCTTTCTTATCAAGCAGAAGCAGGTAATTTTCCACTTTCATTTTTTAGTAACCCTCCCCCTCTACAATCAGCATTTCTTAGAGAACTGCTAGCTATGCACAATTTGTTTAAAATATGACAGCTGGTAATTACTGAAGGTCTCTTAGTTAAGTTGATCTAGCCAAATCTGGCAGCCGTGACAAACCAATGTCAATTAAAACTTGCTCAGAAATTATGTCCCAACACAGAAAACAAGTGTCATGAATGAGATTTTTTAAAGCTTCATTTACACCAAATACTGTAAATTCTTCCATCCAAGTCTCTCATGAACGGATGTAAGGCGCTCCTGTTACTACAGTAATTGTAACAGTAATTGCGTGTTTTCCAGCGATGACATTGGCCACTGCTGAAACGGTCACACCCTCTCACCAAGCCCAGTATTGAGCAAGGACAGCTTATGCACAAAGGTAGACACGGAGACGAGAACCGCACCCTGGGGCACTATCTGGGATAGCAATGCAGTCGAGATTACAGAATTCTGCTCGTTGTAGGGGGCTTTCAGGTAGCATTCGGCTTTCTCCGTGGGAATAACCAGACGTGATCTATAATCCACTATCACGCACAGAGCTAGAAGTGAGGGCGAGAGAGCGGGACGAGAAACAGAAAGGCCCCACTCCTCCCTAGCAGAGAATACATTGGAAGACAGGAATCGTCCTCAAGGCCCAGCTTTGGATGAACCTGTCCAGTGGCAAATTAGGAACAGTGCTATCAAGGGCCATAGAAAGACAACTGACATAAAATCTAAGCCAGCTGTTCACAGCCTGAACTGAACACTAGAATCCCATGAAGTGTTTTTAAATGCCAGTCTAGCTGTGGACCATATTCCTAACCAATTATATCAGAACCCTTCAAGCATCTATTTTATATATATATATTTAGAAGAATGGAGAGATGGAGAGATAGATCTATCTGTTGGTTCAGTCCTCAAATACATGCAATAGCCATGGGTGGGTCAGGCTGAAGCCAGGAGCCAGGAACTCCATCTGGGTCTCCCACGTGGGCGACAGGGCCCAGGCACTTGGTCCATCATCTACTGCTGCCCAAGATGCATTAGCAGGAAGTTGGATGGCAAATGGAGACAGAACTCAAACTGCCAATATGATATGGGACACAGGCATCACGAGAGACGGCTTAACCCACTGCACCACAGCACCTGCCCCTCGTGACGCATTTCTAATGGACACAAGGAAATGAGAATGACAGTGTACAATTCCAGAGCCTGGTCACACACAGCACAGCGACTTCCTGGTTGCTCTCTCTTGGGTCACTGGGCTCTGGGGAAGCCAGCTGCCATGTGGTGTGCCACACAGAGGCCTGCACAGACAGGAACGGAGGCCTCCAGCCAACAGCCAGCTGACGACTTCAGGAGAGAAGCCTCCAGCATAAGACAAACCTTCAGACACCTCTAGCCATGGCCGACACCTGCCCCCAGGCTGCCCTTGACCGCCACCTCATGAGAAATCCTGAGCTAGAACCACCCAGGCGAACTTCTTCCCAATTCCTGACCCAGAGAAACTGAAAGATAATAAATCCTTGCTGTTCTAAGCTTCTGAACTGTGGAATCGTTATGCAGGGGCAGCTAACCAAGACCTTCTGCTTGCCCACGTTCTAAAGTGACAGCACCAGCAGGCTGTTCAGAGGACCTAGAATGAATGCAAACTATGAGACCTACCTTGCTCCCAGATCTGCAGCATGAACAAATGCATCAGGCAGTCCTACCGCGTGCGTACACGGTGACAGGCATGCGCTCTAGCTGATGGACACTGGAGAGGCAGGTGCTGAGATAATGAGTTGACTCAGAGCCAAGAGAAGTCCAGGCAGCCCCATCAAGCATCCAATGACACAACAGCTACTGTGGGAAGCAAGGGAAGGGAATAAAAGGAGTTCTGTCATAGGTTAGAGTTCTCATCCGTAAGGTTTTACAAAGCACCTGAGGAGGTAAGGACTGGCACAACTAACCTTACTAGAGAACAGGACAGTTTCTATTCCAGAGCTGTTCCAGGACAGCAGGCTGACAGGAAACACCATGGAAGAGAGAGAGGAGGCAGAACCCCATCAAATGACCCAAGGAACAGAATTCCAAGACGATACCCACTTCGGGCAAGTTTCTTTCAGAAACAAACAGTAGACGGATCCAGGAGAAAGGCAGCTGTGCCTTAGCCAGCAAAGCTTGATGCCAGTCTCCCTGCAGCAGCCTCTAGCAGGAGAATCCTAGTGAGGATGTCATTAGCAAGACGTGTGGCACGGCCCTGGGCAAGGCCTTCAATTCGCATCTGGTCCCCTTGGCCAGGGCCAACATGGACAGTGGTCGCCCCTCCACTTTCTGCTCCGGCCCGCCCTCCCACCCGAGGCGGCTGCCAGCTCCCCATCCTGCCACCTACTCCACATCTACCTTGTTGGTCTGCAGCAGCAGAGGCACCTGACAAAGGTGACCTAGAAACCTGGAGACTCCGCTTGCTGATGCAGGCATCAACCTCCTCCATGTGAGCCCTGCTGCAGATTCACAGCGAGCCCCTAACCCAGCCACCGCTGAAACCCCACAGCCTGGGGGAGGAAGGGGAGCCAGCCACAGGGGAGGTGGGCTCCCTGGGTGCTATGACGGCTGCCAGAATTGATTTCCTCAAGGGCCACTTGTTGGAGACGTATCAATTACTGCGGGATGAAGAGCCCTAGGAGAGGAAACCACAAATCAAATTTTCATTACCAGACTGAAGTGAGGAGTACCACAAGTGAGATCCATCATTGTTGATTTCTTTTACGGGGGGCCAGGGATAGATGAGAACTCAGTCCCCTCCCTAACACCTTCTGCACTTGTCCCTACGCAGCCATCAGTCTGCTGTAGCTCCCTTCTTAACTGTCTCCATGCACAACTGGATTGCAACTGGGGTGGGGGGGTCACAGGGTGGGTCTTCCTGTCTGGGATAGCCCTACTGCCCACACTAGTCATCCTGAGGCTGCCCCGAGTGCACCCCAAACATGAAGGGGACCGGGCCTGATGGTGGGGAAATGTGGTTGCCAGGGGGCACCTTGTAATCTGTTCCCAGAAGGCGGAAACGTGCACCATAAACAAACTCGTGGAGCTCCCCAGTGCCCACGCAGTGGGCAGAGGGCAGTCCCTCCCCACCTCACCTAGGCGGAGGAGGTGGGACCGGCCCACTCCCGTCCTCACATGCCCCTCAGCTGCTTGTGCTGAAGCTCACCTGCCCCCAGGCTGCCCCCGACTTCTCTTCCCTTTAGCAACAGCATGTGGGTAGAGGAAGCAGGGAATGAGTGCTTGCGGCTCCCCTAAGAGCACCACAGGAGTTGAGAAGTTTAAAGTCCTGAGCAGAGGCAGAGGGTGATGCAAGGACGAGATGAAGTCAAGGCCAAGGTCCCTGGCGGCCTCATTGTGTCCCATGCGGGCTCCTGTGACCGTGTCCTGTGTCTCCCGCAGGTGCGTTTTCCCTCCAGTCCCTCTTCCAGCTGGTAGGCAGTGAGCAAGCAAATCTGATCACATTTCTCACCTGCTGACTGCTCTCCACGACCACTGCAGCCTGCAGATCAGCCCAGGCGCCTCTGCCCCGTGATGGGCCTCCACCTGCCAGTCTACTCTAAGGTCCCCCTCCCCCATCAAATGCTACTCCGCTCACCCTAGCCACAGGTAGTCCCCACGCAAGGCCTGTCTGTGTTCTCTCTAACCCTCGCCCAAGCTGCTCCTGGGGTCCTGCCCCTCATCTTCCCCCCAGCAAACTCCTGGAAGCCTCTAGCCACACTCCTCCTGCCCAGGTGTGTTCCATGGAAGCCGCAAGTGCGCCCTCTACAGAGCACCAACGGAACGGTACTGTGGCCAGCTCTTCACTGGTCCCTCACTCTGGCCCTAGACAGCTGCATCTCGGAATAACCACACCTTCCTCTTTCTCTTATAGCTCAATGCCTATGATGTAGTAGGCACTGGATAATCTAAAACAATCAACCCAATCATCTAATAGCTGGCTGAGAGGTCATTTCAATCCCCCTAAAACTTCTCAAAAGGTAGTTCCCAGACCAACAAAGTCAGCACCACCCGGGAAGGTATTAGAACTGTAAGTACTGGGGCAGGTTCTGGCCCAGCTATTAAGACGTGGCTTGGGGTGCCCATATCCTGTATCAGAGTGCCTGGGTTCAATGCCCCGCCCCAGCTGCCTGCCAGTGCAGACCCAGCGGGACAGCTGTGATGGCTCAAGCAGAGTCCCTGCCACTCATGAAGGAGACCTGCATTGAGTTCCCAGCTCCTGGCTTCATCCGGGCCCAGTCCTGGTCACGGTAGAGCGCTGGGGAGTGATCCAGCAGACAGGCGATTCTCTCTCTTTCTCTCTCTCCCCCTCCTTTCCTCTGCCTCTCAAATAAATAAAAATAAAGAAATGCCCATTCTTGGGCCACACCTCCTCCTGAGTCAGAAACCGGAACTTCCCTGGCAATCTGGCGTTAAGCTCCAGGTGGCTTTGATGCACACTCAACTTCTAGACCCACTGCCCTAAAACCTTCAAAACCCAGGAGCGGCGACTCAGCTTCCGCCGAGTTAGGGGCTGCCTGGCCATGGCCCCTTTTCCAGGATGGCTGAGCCGCTCCACGGTTGAAAACACCTGCATTCCCCCGGGGGGCCAGACGCAGGAAGACTCCCCCAGGACTAAAGCACTACCACCCAGGGAACACAGGAAACCAGGCAACAGGTGCGCAGGGCTCCGGGGGAGGAGGGGCGCTCTCGCCCTGAGCTGCTGTGGCCGGAAGGCCCTGGGCAGGCACTTGCTGGGCTGGACAGAATTCACGGAAGGCTCAAGCGACGGCTGAGGACCTGAATTTGGCGGCAGCCAGCGGCTGGTAGTTCTTCCCTAAGGGACGACGTGCGGCACGACAAGAGTGTGACAGGCAGATGTGCCACTCGGGTCGCCGCAGACACAACGGAGCGGGGCCGTGAGCAGGATCGCGGCCGTGGGTTTCAGTGCAATGGTCTGGGTGTCCGAAGTGTCCCAGCGCTGTTCTGAGGAGTCTACTGTGCTGCCCAGGGTACAGCCCCCAGGTTAACGAGCAAGGCAACTTTAGCGTCCGCGTATAGGTGCTCAGTAAAAGCCATTGGTAGGAAACAAGACATGGAAGGGCTTATAAGAAACCGTTAGCACTAAAAAGCTGGGCATTCCGGGTTCTTTGGACACTCCCGTAACCCTGACATGGTTGCGCTGTGATTTCCGGGTGGCGTAGGTGGCCAAACGCAGTGAAACCCTAGCTGTTGACCAGATGTGTTCTCACTCGCGGTACAGAGCCCCCTCCTCACTCCGTAGGCCCTAAGGCTGGCATACACGACGTCGCTGGCTTTATTACGCAGCCGATGGACAGGTCCTGAAAACCCTCTTGGATTCCTCCACCTGCAGGTGTCGGAACCATAGAGTCACTAACGCACGAGCAATTTTCCATTTTCCTTTCTCCAGCCTGAAGAGCTCGTGGCAGCCCACCTTCGTCTCCCTCTTGTTCTGTTTCTCACCTCCTCTTCCTGAGCGATTGACTCCCATCATCTCCCTTATCCTCCAAGAAAAATCGCTGCAGATTTCCGAACTCCCCTGTCTCTTAGTTTTTTGGTTTTGTTGTTTTGTTTTCCTGCAGAGAGAGCTCTAAGACTTTACTTTTCTGAGCCCCTCTTAAAAGTACCGGGCACTGGGTAAAAAACCCAGCACGCACAACCTCTTGGTCCCTACAGGAGTTCGTTCAGCTCACTTTGCGCTCCCCATGGCTCCCGCATCATGGTATTAAATTGCAGCATACCACCTCTTCCTAGCAGACAAGCCGGTCTCTAAACAGCTGGGAAAAAAAATTCAAATCGCAATAAATGGAAAATCTGACAGAAGAAATACGGAAAATGGCCCTGGTGGATCTCAAATAACTACACGAGCACCTCTTTAGAAAAATTGGCCTAAGAGCCCGAGTTGCTGATAAATAAATTTGGGCTTGTACTTAAAGTGATTCATGCTGGAGGAATTAATTTACATCATTTCAGGCTGCAGAGTTTTCACACGTCATGGTTCATGAATTCTTATGGCTGGTAGGACTTTCCAGACATTCTACCTCCAAAAATTATCATAGAAGGGGCACATTTTCCAGGAGAATAGAAGATCTGCCTCTTCAGAATTAATTAAGTCATTATCATGTCTTCCAAGGAGATCAATGGCAGATTTCTCTCCTTTATGGATGGTTATTAAAATTTAATTGGAGGCTTTCTATTTCTAGCAATATGGAAGACTAACTTTTATATATATATTTATATATACATATAAAACTACACGTAGATATACACATAGCTTCCTTTGCATGTAATCCTGTAAAGTTAACATTTAAAAAAAACAAAAACAAAAACAAAAACCAGCTGGATAAATCACTGGGAAGTACACAAAAGGCTCCATAGTAAGGAGTGGCCACACAAAAGTTGGTGGAGACAACCTCACCCCAATCCAGGCCCTTCCCAAAGACCAGACACCTGCTGCATTCTCCCAGTGGTTGCACATCTGATGAGAGAGAGAGAGAGGACCCGCGGTGCCCTGGGCAGACAGAGCTTTTCTGAGGGGATAGCCCCGAGGGGAAGGGTGCTCAAAACTACCATTTCCCCCACTTAAAACTCTGGCTTCATGACAGCGGGGGCGGGGCAGGAAGCATCTGGGAGAGTTGGGGCAGGGTAGGGGGAAATCCACTTGGCTGCTGACCCTGAAACCACACCCGCGGAAACACGGCTTCCGAGGTCTGCAAGGGACCCTACTGGAAAGGTCAGGGTCAAGAAGAGCCCCCAGGAAAGGAAGCCCTGAGGCCTGAGTCTGCCCCGGGTCGTTCAGCCTCCCAGGAGTGGCTGTGGAT